GTGCCTTGCATAAGAAACTGAACATCGCATTTCCGCGCGCGTTGTTTGTTCGCGCCAAATATACCCTTTTCGGGTAGGTCCGGAAGGCCTCTCGCGGGACCATTTGTTGGGCAGGGACTCGCAGATGCCCTGAGAGGGCTCGAAAGGCTTCAGAGAATGATAGAAATGTATATTCTACAACTACACTAAGGGCTGTAAATCATTATAGTCTTGCCCTAGCTGTATGCCCAGCTAACCCTCCCTCTCGATGGGTCTTTGCCGCACATTTGCCGATACCCGAAAAGGGCATATTTGGCGCGGACAAACAACGCGCGCGGAAATGCGATGTTCAGTTTCTTATGCAAGGCACTGTAGCGAAATCAAATGAGATTGAACATAATATCTCATGTCATAAGGTGTCAGGCTACTTTGCATTGAAGAGCCTGGTGCTTGCCCTTTACCAATGTATTCAAAATAATCTATCCATCGAGAATACGAAGCAAAAGACCCTTAGACTCCTTATGTATTATTACTACACCAGACAGTGTCTTTTTATTTAATGCTGAATTCATATGCTCCGCCATCGACGCGCGTGAGAGCAGAGGACAAAGGCAGCTGAGGTGCGACGACGCCGACGAGAACACTTCGAAAATCCGAATTGGGCAGTCGACGAACGGCGATAAACCGGCAGTAAACCGACGTGTCGTTAGTCGCTTAGCTGCCTTACATAATTCCGGTAAAACCTCGGACGACGAGTTGGGCCAGCCGTCTCAGAGCGTCCTCATCCTCACTAGTCGTCTTAATTAGGAAACACATCTATAAATAAGCTGCATTATATAAGCCCTATTACATAACATCTTCACATATGCCCTAGCAGAGAGGATCGAGGACGCGGAGACGGATGGTTCTAGGAGCCTGCGCCGCCGCGCGATTCGACACATCCTTTGCCCGCCGTGTGAGAGTCGGCAAATGCCTGCCAGCCAAATGTCCGTGTGACCGTGATTGTCACACGCGCATCGTTTCGCGCCACAGGCCATTCTGCTCTGCCAACTGTAACGGTCAAGGCGACCGAAACTGAAGTGCAGACGTAGAACGGGACACGAGTAGGCGCTGAGACTGATACGGGCATTGATTCGATGGGGAAAAGGGGAGAGTACAGGGAGCTACCGGTATAAGTGACTGTTCGACTACTGTACCATTTCGATCTATTCGGCAGGCGATGTGACGTATGACTCATCTGACCTACCCGTCATTTCGGCATCTTACTATATATGGTGTGAAGTGGCACTGCAGGCCAGCTTTTGATACCATATATGGTAAATTCCCCCACCCCAGAGGCCGTCTTTGCTATTGCGCCCCCGCGTAAACATGACCAAATATTACCTTTTCGAGAAGAATATCATGTGACCTCCGACCCCTCCGGCCGCGTCACTAAAAATAACTGGACCCAGCCATATTAAGTAAACGCCAATTACGCTGCCATCATATATTGTTAATGTGTAAGACATGCATTGCTTCTTTAGTGTAGTGGTTATGCGGCATGCATTTAGCACTGGATGTCTAGAGTTCAATTCCTACTGTCCACATTTTTTGATTTGTGCTTTTAGGGTTAGGGTTTATTAACTTTCCTTACTGTTGGCTTTTATATCTACCTTGTCAGCCACATGTATCGCAGCTATATAGATTTCAATGAAATTTTATTTTGCCCCATCTATATGACCCTCTTAGTCCAGACTTGAAGATACTCTAACTGGCCGGACACGCGCGCGGCGGGAAGCCCGCATTTGCCGGCATCACGTGACATTCTTCTGGATATGGTATATTTGTACGTGTTTGCACGGGGGCGCAGTAAAGCTACCTCCCAGAGGCCCTGTGACCGGTGACAAACGCCAGATTTCGTCTTCGGCAGGTACCCCTGTTGCCGAATAGATTGAAATCATACAGTACTCCTAACTGTCAGATACCGGAAACAGAAGCCGAAAGGTACATGGTAGATAGGATGTCATCCGCGAGGGCCATCGGCCGAATACATGCTTGCACTGCGTTCTAGAGCCAGAGTCCGTTGTCTATCTAAGAGTGACCGTTAAGATAAACATAAGACAAAATAGGAAATAGTCCATTGAAACATAGGAAGTGGCTGTGATGGCCTTAACTGTCACACCAACCTCGGACTAAATGATCTATTCCTGCACAATAAAGAGAAACTTTGATACTCTATACAGCTGGTATAATATCTACAGTAGTATTGTTGTAATATATGCAACAAACAGAATTATTACATGGCTAAAACACGCAATATGGTAGTCATGAATTAGTATTCCTCTTACCCTGAGTCCTCATACCCTGGGTCTGTATTATCTGTAGAAGCTGCCATAAAATTAAAAGGATAGCCTTCAGAATACCTCTTAACTGCTTTGATTAAAGCATCAATCTTGTCTGCCTTCTTGGTTACTTTTGACTTGATGGGCACCAGCCTCTTGTCCTTAGCTATCCCTGCCTTGATCTCCATTTGCCGGTGCTTCCAGAAGGGACATGTTCTATCAAAACACATCGAAAACGCGTTACCTTGCAACTAGCAAGGTCTCTGCTTGTCGGAAATTGAGCCATCAAAACTGTATTTGTTTATATCTGTTTGTGGCATGTGCATTGTTTCACACTTCTATCACTGCCATCAATTCAGTATCTTTGCTCTTATCTCTGGAAGTCTCTCACTGCCTTAGTGTTGCCAGGCACTGGCAAGGATGCCAGACATTGAGAATTTGATTATTGAAACTTAATTGATTTGTGATTGTTTGTGGCAATGCATCCAGTGGAATGCTCATGCTCCTTGCTACCATTTTATGCTTCAAACAGCTTGAAATCTTTGACCTTACGATGGTATGATGTTACAGTGCCTTGCATAAGAGACTGAACATCACATTTCTGCACGCATTGTTTGCCCACACCAAATATACCCTTTTCGGGTATTGGCAAATGTGCAGCAAAGACCCATCGAGAGGGAGGTAGCTAGGCACACAGCTGGGGGCAGAGTATAATAATTTACAGCCCTTAGTATAGTTTTAGAATATACATTTCATGCATTCTCTGAAGCCTTTAGAGCCCTTTCGGGGCATCTGCGAGTCCTTGCCCAGCAAACGGTTTTGCGAGAGGCCTTCCAGACCTACCCGAAAAGGGTATATTTGGCGGGAACAAACAACGTGGGGGAAAATGCGAGTTTCTTATGCAAGGCACTGTACTATAGACATGCAGAGAAAGAGGACCAAAGCAAGAGTCAAGTCGCAAGGTATACGGCCGGCGATAGCCGGTGCTTCTCGAGTATGTATCACCAAGTACGGTTTCCGTGGGAGTTTCAAACTCCGCTTTCCGCGGAAATCCTTTCCGTGGAACTAATGTACCACAGGCAGTCCCGGAAGGGCCCGTGTCAGTCCCTAGGCGGGCGGTGACGAGGCCCTTGCTGGAGCTATGGTTTCGCGTGCTGATTCTGTGTAGTGAAGGTCCTACCATCACGTTGTCGATTATGAGTTCTTCAAGAAGCGCCCTGCGGCGTATCACACTCCATTACAACATCCCTTGATGATAGAGGGAATTAAACAATCTAAGGACATATCGTTGATGGCTGGAGCTCGGTGGAATGCCCGGGTTCAAGAGGACTGTATACACCCGGCTACATTCGTTTTGACATATGTAACTGACTGTCGGGGTGCCCGGGCCTATCATTAATATTAGCTAGTGTCTTGCCAGCATGAGCACTCTTTGAGCGTGAAAATTCTCTAACTGCGTGGAAACCCTCCTATCCCTTGGTCTGAATCTTCCCCTCTCCAGTCTCCACTTGCGAAAGCTTCCTGCTGATCTCCCTGGCCTCCCTCCTATAAGTTTGGTCTTGGCTTTTCTTCCATCATGCAGTTCCGGTATTGTGCGCAACCCTGCTAGTTTCGGGAAGTGTTATGTCTATCTATCGCCTGCCAGTCAGAGTGATCGAAGATCTGCTTCCGCCACCGCCACGCGGTTATCTTATCCACGCCAGGCACGTGCAGTCTGAGAAAAAATTGCTTTAGCCGAGGTTGCCGCTCATACGCAAGTCGAATCGAACCTGGAGTCCGTCGACGTTGCTCTCGTCGACCTCCCCTCCGCTCCTCCCTCATGTCGGACGAGCTGCCGCCACCGGTCGCCAGCCCCGCACGCAACAGCTTCCTCCCCGCAAAGTCATGGCAGCACTTTGTTGCTGGTGGGTAAGTCCAGCCCACTCGTATCTACGGCTTAATATTGAACATGTACCTGCAGATTGGGAGGGATGTGCGGGGCGATTGTGACGAGCCCGTTTGATGTTGTGAAGACACGGCTGCAGTCTAGCTTATACCAGGAGCACCACGCGAAACTGAGCGTACCAGGTGGGGCGACCGTCGCCGTTCGCAAACCGGGTGGGCTTCTATGGAATTTCGTCGAGACGGCACATATCATCCGGTACGCACCAGCATTTCATTCTGCTCCATCATGCGTCTGATACCTTCTACTTTCCAGCGACATTTACCGCGATGAATCCCCCCGTGCGCTGTTCAAAGGCCTGGGGCCGACACTCGTGGGTGTCATCCCCGCGCGCTCGATCAACTTCTTCACGTACGGCAACGGCAAGCAGCTCATCGCGACGCACTTCAACCACGGCGAGGAGAACTCGTACGTGCACCTGACCGCCGCGGCGCTCGCGGGGATTGTGACGGGGACCGCAACGAACCCGATCTGGGTCGTCAAGACGCGGCTGCAGCTCGAGCGCGAGCACCACCACGGGCGCGCGCCGGGGAGCTGGGCCATGATCACGCGCATTCTGCGCGAGGAGGGTGTGCGCGGGTTCTACAAGGGGCTCAGCGCGAGTTATTTGGGTGTGACGGAGGGCACGATCCAGTGGACGCTGTACGAGCGGCTGAAGAAGCTGACGAGAAATGTGGAGGGCAAGGGCGGGGCCGGCGAGTGGTTCGGCATGCTCGGGAGCGCGGGGACGGCCAAGTGCGTCGCGAGCCTGATCACGTACCCGCACGAGGTGCTCCGCACGCGCCTGAGGCAGCCGCTCGTGGACGGGAAGGTGAAGTATACGGGCTTGGTGCAGACGTTCAGGCTTGTGCTCGCGGAGGAGGGCGCGAAGGCGCTGTATGGGGGCCTGAGCGCGCATTTGATGCGCGTGGTGCCGAATGCAGCGGTGATGTATTCGATTTATGAGGGGGTGTTGAGTTGGGGGGAGAGTCGGTAGCGGAGGCAGGGTGAGGTATGGGCTTCAAGGGTCCTTGTGGTGAAAAGTACTGTACATTCTCCTCTATCCTCGCTCGCTCACGTTTCCCTGGCTCTCATAGACCCAACTCTACACAGGCACTGTATTTCTATGCATATCGACGCTTCCGTTGAGGATGATCGTAATTCACGTACCGTACGTACCCATGGCTTTCATGCACGTGTAATCTATGTAAATTATACTTTGTTGCTTGGATATGCTGGACGTGAGGCTAGGCGAAGATGATCAGGCCTCCCGAGGGAGGATCGATATCCAAGTGCTGATATGAAGCATTGAACCCTGTGATAAGCCAAGTCTATGGATACCTGCACTTGGTAGATCACAGCTCCGAAGCTTCCACTTGCTGTGAATCCCTGGACCCTCGAACCTTACTCTGGTTCCTTTCAAGGTTGAAGTGAGCCGTGGTCTTGTACCTGGTCCTCTTCGCATTGAGTTGTGAGCAACATGTGCTGTGCCGGTGCTTATTAGAACCCAGGTTAGTGGGTTCAGGAAGGCTATATTTCTGTTTTCGCTGAGCGCTTTGCAACTGAGCATTGCAGGATTTAGTACGGTTCTCCTGCAGCATGATATGTAGTGCTAGCAGGTAATGCAAACAAAAATACTACAGAAGTGTAAGAAACCACTCCTGCTGTGCCTGAGGCAGCACCGAGGTTCCCGCCACAATTGCCGCTTTGGGGAGACCAGTGAGACAAGAAGGTGCTGGAAGCCACAAGAAGCGTCCATGCGGGACCTCATACTCCCACGGCTATGTGACGTTCTCCCGCGTTTTGTCATGAGGGGACGCGCGTCGTCCTTAGAGTTGACCCTCATCTACTTAAGAGGCTCTCTGCTTTCGCGACCTGCTTTCACTTTCAGACCCACGACACGACCAAGTAGCACATATCAGCCATGGATCCCAGTGGTGCTGCCTCGCAGCCTCAGAATGACACCGCGACCGCGATCCTGCGGCAGAAGAAATCGTAAGTGACAATGAAGGTAGTGGATTGCAGATATTAACACACTTGCGCAGGCCAAATCGTCTCATCGTAGACGAGGCGACGTCCGACGACAACTCCGTCGCGACCCTCAACCCCGCGACGATGGAGACGCTCCAGCTCTTCCGCGGCGACACGATCATCGTGCGCGGGAAGAAGCGGCGCGACACCGTCCTGATCGTGCTCAGCTCGGACGACGTCGAGGAGGGACGCATCCAGATGAACAAGGTCGCGCGGAACAACCTGCGCGTGAAGCTCGGCGATCTCGTCAACGTGCACCAGTGCGCGGACATCAAGTACGGCAAGCGCGTACATATCTTGCCGTTCGACGACTCGGTGGAGGGGCTGTCCGGGAACATCTTCGAGGTGTACCTGAAGCCGTACTTCCTCGAGGCGTACAGACCCGTCCGTAAGGGCGACACTTTCCTCGTCCGCGGTGGTATGCGCACGGTTGAATTCAAGGTTATCGAGACCGACCCTGCAGAGTACTGTATCGTGGCTCAAGACACGGTCATCCACACAGGTTCGTATCCGTCTCTTTTCTGGGATGCATCCGGGATATGCTGACAACAAAACGCAGAGGGCGACCCCGTCAAGCGTGAAGAGGAAGAAGCCAACCTGAACGACGTCGGCTACGACGACATTGGCGGTGTCCGCAAGCAGATGGCGCAGATCCGTGAACTCGTCGAGCTGCCGTTACGGCATCCACAGCTCTTCAAGGCGATCGGTATCAAGCCCCCAAGAGGTATCCTCATGTACGGCCCCCCTGGTACCGGTAAGACGCTCATGGCGCGTGCTGTGGCAAACGAAACTGGCGCGTTCTTCTTCTTGATCAACGGCCCCGAGATCATGAGTAAGATGGCGGGAGAGAGTGAGAGTAATCTGAGGAAGGCGTTCGAGGAGGCTGAGAAGAACTCGCCGTCGATTATCTTCATTGATGAAATTGATTCGATCGCTCCCAAGCGTGAAAAGGTTCGTTTCATCCCATTCTCTATAGAGTATGCATTTACCGACAGTTTCACGCATAGACTAACGGGGAAGTCGAGCGCCGTGTCGTCTCTCAGCTGCTTACCCTCATGGATGGCTTGAAGGCTCGCTCGAACGTCGTAGTCATGGCTGCCACCAACAGACCAAATTCCATCGACCCCGCCCTCCGTCGATTCGGCCGATTCGATCGTGAAGTCGACATCGGTATCCCCGACCCTACCGGCCGTCTCGAGATCCTCCGCATCCACACCAAGAACATGAAGCTCGCCGACGACGTCGACCTCGAGCAGATCGCCGCGGAGACGCACGGTTACGTCGGTTCCGATCTTGCCGCGCTCTGTTCGGAGGCCGCGATGCAGCAGATCCGCGAGAAGATGGACCTCATTGACCTGGAGGAGGACAGTATCGACGCAGAGGTACTCGACTCGCTCGGCGTCACGATGGACAACTTCCGGTTCGCGCTCGGCTCGTCGAACCCGTCTGCGCTCCGCGAGACCGTCGTCGAGGTGCCGACGATCAAGTGGGACGATATCGGCGGGTTGGACAAGGTCAAGCAGGAGCTGCAGGAGACGGTGCAGTACCCTGTGGAACACCCCGAGAAGTTCGTCAAGTATGGCATGTCGCCGTCGAAGGGTGTCTTGTTCTATGGGCCTCCTGGTACTGGTAAGACGTTGCTTGCCAAGGCCATCGCCAATGAGTGCCAGGCCAACTTCATCAGTATCAAGGTTCGTTATCCAGCAGTTGCTCTCATGCACTGAGTACTGACTATAATTGCATATTTAGGGTCCTGAATTACTCACCATGTGGTTCGGTGAATCAGAAGCCAACGTCCGTGATGTCTTCGACAAGGCCCGTGCGGCTGCGCCGTGCGTGATGTTCTTCGACGAGTTGGACTCGATCGCGAAGGCTCGTGGCGGCTCGTCGGGCGATGCTGGCGGCGCGGGCGACCGTGTGCTGAACCAGATCCTGACGGAGATGGACGGTATGAACACGAAGAAGAACGTCTTCATCATCGGCGCAACTAACCGACCCGACCAAATCGACCCTGCGCTTCTCCGGCCTGGCCGTCTTGACCAGCTGATCTACATCCCTCTGCCGGACGAGCCGTCGCGTCTGGCCATTCTCAAGGCTAACTTGCGCAAGTCGCCTGTCGCGCCTGACGTCGACTTGAACTTCCTTGCGAAGAACACGCATGGGTTCTCTGGTGCTGATTTGACGGAGATCTGTCAGCGCGCTGCGAAGTTCGCGATTCGGGAGTCGATCGAGGCAGATATCCGAAAGCAACGGGAGAAGAAGGAGAAGGAGGAGGCGGGCGATGGGGATGCGAAGATGGAAGAGGAAGAGGAGGAGGACCCCGTGCCGACGATCACGAAGGCGCACTTCGAGGAGGCGATGAAGTATGCCCGGCGGTCGGTGTCTGACGCTGACATCCGGCGCTATGAGATGTTTGCGCAGAACCTCCAGCAATCGCGTGGCTTCGGCTCGTTCAAGTTCCCCGAGGGCCAGTCTGCCCCTGGTGCGCCTGCTCCTCCCGCCGGCAACGCTGGGTTCAGTGAAGACACGGCAGATGATGATTTGTACGCATGAGTGAAGTGTCCCGTTTTCTCCTTTCCTCCTTTGTCATCACGTTTCCGGTGTTGGATGGCATGACGATAGAACCGTAGCAGCATTTTCTTTCCAAAGCTTTGTATTGTAGTTGAAGCAACCTCATTCTTGCACTATCATTAGGCTTCAGGCTATTTTGAGTGTGTACGCAGGGTCTATGACGGTGCATGTACGCAAGGTAACACTTGACATGGCCGCCTTACAAGGTCGCCTACATTTTATGGCAATTGCCCAGCATAGGCACGTCATTGACACTGGGGCCCCGCTTCGTGCCTGACACCCGAACGTCGTCGACGCTGTCCGCGGCATCGAGCGCGACGCAGCGCATCTTGATCACGTACACCACATACACGATGGACGCTGGTCGCGCCTTCTCCTCTGCATCCCGCTCGTTATCGTCCTCGTCCCTGAAGGACAAGCTGTCAAAGGTCTCGAAGCTCAGCACCACTCCTCTGCGACCGGTCGCTGCCCATGTCAAGAATATCGAGTGGGTGTTGCCGGCCTAGTATGTCATGCATGCAGACGTTGACGGGCGTCGTGATGTTGCAGCTTCGTCCCGTCCAAGATCCCCCGGAAACGGAGGCTGCAGATGCTCGCTGTTGCAGTATGGGCGCTCCTGATACCCATCACGACGTTTTTGTTCCTCATACTATGGTGCGTCCATTCCTCCTGTCATGCTTGTGGCTGAGGGTTAACGAGATGTTTTAGTTCTTTTCCACCGCTGTGGCCATTTTTAGCGGCGTATCTTATATGGATAAGATGGATAGACCGGAGTCCTGAGCATGGCGGGAGGATAAGTCCGTGGTTCCGCTCGATGAGGTTCTGGAGATACTTTGCCGACTACTACCCTGCATCGTGAGTGCATACACTATACAATTGCTACGTCCTGATGTGTACAAGAGTCATGCAAGGTTCTTGAAGGTCTGGTGACACCCTCCTCTCATGGTTCCGCACCCTCCTAACAAAGTTGTTGTCGCGTTCAGGAATGCGACCTCCCCCCAGACCGACCTTACGTCTTCGGGTATCACCCTCATGGTAATGAACATTACCGCCCTTCGTGCATGCCGGGCAGGTGCTGAGTCGTCATTCACAGGCATCATTGGCATGTGCGTCGTCCGTCCGTTTGTCTGTGAGACTCTCACCGCGGCTGCTGAGGCATTGCGTATAACAGGGGTGCCATGGCCACTTTCGCCACCGAAGGTGAGTATCCTATCGCCTTTACCCTGTTCTGAATACTGATCAGATCCCCTTCTAGCCACTGGATTCAGCGAACAGTTCCCTGGGCTCACTCCCCACCTGCTCACCCTAGCCACAAATTTCACCATGCCCATATACAGAGACATCATCCTCGCCCTGGGCATATGCTCCGTCAGCAAGCAGTCCTGCTCGAACATCCTCAGCAGCGGCCCCGGGCAGGCTATCACAATCGTAGTAGGAGGCGCAGCAGAGAGTCTTAGCGCTCGGCCGGGCACGGCCGACCTCACGCTCAAACGGAGGTGAGAGGGTTGCGAGGATTGCGTGCGTAAAAGGCTTTACACCTATTTTATTAGGCTTGGCTTCATCAAGATTGCTATACAACACGGGCGAGTCTGGGATACCCTGGTTACCCACGTTCGCGGCTGACCTCTTGTATACTACAGAGCGGCACTGGTCCCTGTATTTTCTTTCGGCGAGAATGATGTGAGTGTTTTTGGGCGCTCTTCGTCTGCGCGTACTAACGGTACCCTCTTGCCGTTGGTGGTGTTAGATTTATCAACAAATGCCCAACGAAAAGGGAACCACAATATATGCCCTACAGAAGAAATTCCAGAGCGTCTTCGGCTTCACGTTGCCCTTGTTCCACGGTCGGGGCATGCTAAATTGTACGCTGTCTGTCCTCGTCTGCAGTACTGTAATGACACGTGGTTGGGTGCCCAGATAACCTTGGTTTGATGCCGTATCGACGGCGGATCGTGTCTGTCAGTGAGTGTCGAATGCGCATCACCCTCTTCCCTACCTTCATCGGCTGTATTTCTTACCCGATCCCTAGTCGGTCGGCCCATATTATGCGAGAAGTGCGAGAAGCCAAGCATGGAGGAGGTTACGCGGGTGCAACAGGAGTACATCGCAGAGCTGCTCAGGTGCGTTTCACTTCCACCTCAGCTGCTCTCGCCGTTGTGGACCTTACGCGCGTGCTTGCTCAGAATATGGGACACGTACAAAGATCAATTTGCTCGGTCGCGGAAGAGAGAACTGAGTATTATTGATTGATGGCGGATGCTGACGAGTGCTGCTGTCCTTGTATACAACATCTAGAGGCACATATCAACACTTGGCCGTAATAAGGAAAACAAGTTATATGACCAGCTAGAGGATACAGTTCTCACGGGGTGTCGCTCATATGTTCATTTTCCCCCTAGATCTCACGGAGTGGTTGAATATATCGGCACTCTGATGGTGCCGTCGCTGTCTGCCCTTGACGAAGCTGCCAACTCGGTAATATTTTCACGTTCTCTGCAGTGTGATTCACTCTCTGAACTTGAATAGTCTAACAAATTTCCATCGACCCCCTGGCTTATACTCCCAAAGCTCCACGCCCAGTGCTTTGCCCTCCTTTGTCATGCCTTCCTCCTCCCCAGCGTTGTTCAGCCTGGCTTCGAGCTCCAGGAAGCACGCCTCCGCTTTAGCTGCGTCCGTCTCCTTATTCATGATGGTAAAGTGCGGCCTCGAGAGCGTTTGTCTGTCTTGATTCGTCAACTCTTGTTCCTTCCACATTGCACGCAGCCGGCGCCGGAATGCCACGAGTTGCGACTTCCCCGCCCCGATGTCTATGGCTACGCCGCGTTGGCCCATCTTGAACGCCATCCCGAGTCCGATGTCGAAGGCGCTGGTTCTCTCTGTGACTGACCGTAAGTCGTCAAGGATCTTGGACAGGCTGGGTTGCGAGGACGGCAATGCGTGGAATAAGGTGAGATGCCCTGGAACCAGCAGGCGGTGAGCGGGGAAGTACGTCGTACGGAGATCATTGATACAAGTCTGAAGAGGGGATGATATGTGGAGGGTTAGGACCAAGGGTCCTTGGATAGCCTCGAGTGCGGCTGTATGAGCTCGATGGTACATGGCTTGGAAAGTCGAGCGCAGGGACCACGAATCAAAGGCCAGCACATTCAGGACGATCGCCCCGATTGATGTACGTCAGCCACCTGCCACTTCCATGATTCACTTACCGATCGATCGCAGCAGGAGATTCGTGACAATCTCAGTATCTCACAGTATGTCCCACACGAGATCACCCGAAGCACGCCAATTGTACCATCACAAGAAAGACGAATAACTCCGAAGATAGATGTGACAAAACGAACGTATACGTAGTGGGCTGCATCCGAAACACGCAGCCCTTTTGGACCCAGGTATCTAGCAATGTCCATCGAAACAAAGAGCGTGGGTTGCTGACGTATCAGCACTAGGTAAAATGTCCTTTCCCTATGCCTCCATCAAGAGGATGACGTGGTGTTGTAATAGTAGGGGTCGCAGACGCTGGCGTTGTGGTACGCCGCCGGGTCCTTGGTGAGGAAACCGTAATTGACTCCATCAAGGTAGGACCTGTGACAGGCCGTGTCAGCATGGGGAGAAATACGCATTGCAGGCAGGAATCAATCACCATTGCCTAGAGAGGTTGCCAGCCAGCTCGGAAATCTCTACGTGGAAGTTCCAGAACTATATTCCCAAATATTTTCAGCAATCCATCGCTTGGTGGAATTACAGGCCCGATCACTTACGAGCCACCCAGCGCCCTTGGTGTAAGCCATCTTCTGTGCGTCCGCCCACATGTACAGGAACTCGTCCGTTGCGTCGAATTGCGTGGGCAGGCCCCACTCGCCGAACCAGAGCGGGGTATCGCCTACGGCAGCGTCGTTCTGCACCCGCTGGAGATCTGGTGATGCGGGCAGTCAGAGTCAAAAGGCCTCGAGACGCGGACGAATTGACGTACTGCAAATGCTGGTCATGTACGCGTCCGGATTCGGGTCGGCCACGCCCTGAGTGGAAAGTCTATGAAGGCAGAGAAAAGCAAATAGGACAAGGGCTTACACCGTAGCTGTGGAATAATGTGAGTAAGACACGGCCCAGCGAGTTTTCAGCGAGACTCACTTGTAGTAGAGGTGGTTGTCGTAGCCCTGCGGACCGATCGCGGCATAGGCGGGGTTCGGCGGGTCGTTATACTGCCAGTTGACATCCATAAAGCTATAACCGCCGTCAATCACACCTCCCAGCCGTGCCTAGCACCCCAAACTCACTTGGTCATCAACGGCGTCCTGGACGAGAACAAGGGTGCCTGGGTGGACGTAAAGTCCAAGATGGTCGGGATCGCGAGCTCGGCCGCCATCTCGAGCAGGATCGGCGCGGCCTCGAGCAGTGCGGCCGTGACGTTCTGGTTGAAGATCGACGGCAGGCTCGTGCTTGTGGCGACCTGGATGAACGCCGCGGACGTGTTGGACGTGCCCAGGGAGACGTCCAGGGACACGCCCGGCACGGGGATGCCAAGGATGAGCTCGACTGCGCGAATCGTCTGCACGAAGTTGACCTGGACTGCGGGCGGGTGAGAGGTAGGCCTAGGTAAGCAAAAGGAAGCGTACATTGGCCGTAGCCGGGCGTTTGGTCTGCGTTCATGATCGGCTCGTTGACGGCTTCGATGGCGAAGACGCTGTTGAACGCGGGGTCGAGGTGCGTCAGCGCGGTCATGACGGCGGTCCATACCAGTGCGCGGTGGTAGTTGTACGGGGTCTACGCAAGTATTCTCTATTATCCCATCCAATATCACACTCTTCCCGCACTCACGTAGAACTCCACGTCTTGGGTACAATGCCCCGTAAACTGCTGGCCGGCCGTCTGCACGCCCGGCAACGCATGGTGGTCCAGAATCGCGACCATGCCCGCGTCCTGGAGCTGCTGCAGGCCGCGCTGGAGCTGCTTGATCCCGCCGCGTGGGTAGTACTCGCTCGAGCGGTTCACGAGCGGCTCGACGATCCAGTAGCCCAGCGGGATGCGCACGGCGTTGATGCCGTCCGCCTTGAGCTGCTGCACGTGGTCCTCGGTGAACCACGTCGACCAGTGCTTGTCGAAGGTCGCGTCGACGGTGTCCGGGTAGGCCTTGGCGAAGGACCACTCGTCCGCGATGCAGGTCGAGCAGTCGCTGCAGGACTGGCCGCCCATGTCAAGCCATTCTGTCGGATGCGTTGGTTAGAATGTGTTCTTTTGGTACGGCTCTCTCGAGACGTGCCTTGCGGAAGCATCCATGCTTCGAGGACCAACCTGCGTGCGCTGAGCATATGTACGTCGCACCCCTCGTGACACGGAGACACTCACCACGAACCGAGGTTAACACCGTATAGCTTCGGCGGGACATTCCCGACAGCAGACGCAAGCCTGAAAAGAGCGAAGTGGAGCAAAAGAGCGACAAGGGGCGCGAGAGCCTGCATCTTGCTGGCGCGCTGCCCACCGGAAAGCTTCAGTTTTTATAGAGGAGGGAAGGGAAAAGGAAGGAATAGCGGACGCCGTCTTTATACCGCTCGGACGCGCGAGCGCGCAGGCTTCGGACAGGGACGAGCTTATAGAAATAGCACCGCCGGGGGGCTTGTGACCTCCCGTAACGAGATCGAAGCGCGCGTATCCCACGCGTTCAGGCGACATTTACGGGCGCGCCTCGTCTCCTTTGCGCTTGCCGACCGCAGAAGAGGATGCCCAGTGCGCAAATGCAGGTCGACGGCCAAGGCAGGCGCTTGAAATACCCTGAGACGACGCCTTGCTGGGAAGCTGGCGATCGGCGTGCGTACGTACACGCGAGCTAATTAACGCGGTCGCGGTGACACGCTCACGTGCGCGGGTCACGGAGCGCGTCGTGCCATTGGACGGCGGGGTGCGGTGGACGAGCGCGGATGAGTAAACGGGATGAGCGGTGAGAGATCACCACGAGGCTCGCAAGCAGATGCGCTGAATCTTCCATCTATAGTGTCCTCCCTTCGTGCGCACGCCCGGTGTATCGGGAGCTGAAGGGCGTGATGCTGAAGGCCAGAAAGCTCGGACGCAGATGCCGCTGAGAACGCTCCCACTTGCCGCCCCCTGCGAATCGGTCCGTTGGGAGTTGCGGCATCGAACAGACAGGTGCCCTGCCGCTGGCATGCTCCTGACGAATTCTGCCGCCGCGGGTACGCAGCTCGAACGGCGTCTTGCAAAGCTGAGCCTGGCAAGGAAGATAGGCTCACAAACGCAAACCCCGCCGCGGGCAGGGGGACAGCCGAAACCCGACTGAACACCGCCGTTGGTTATGGTACTTACCAGCCGGACCTGCCGGCAGTGCGGCAGCCTGGAGCTCGCGTGGAGGGGGGAAGGGGGGAAGGAAGAAGGGAAGGGAGTGCCTCGCGATGTTCATTTGCCCCTCTCATACGAATGTCAAGGAAGAGTACTTAAGGGGACGAGAGACATCACAGAGGCACCAAACCGAGTAGTACCCCTACCATAATAGGTAATATATATTCCGCATTGGGAGCCTCACTCGATATACCGCACAGATCACTGCTGCCAGTCGAAGGCCCGACGACAGGAGCGACCGATACTAGACCCGTGACCGGCCTGTGGCGGTGAGCGAAATGTGGCCAGAGAAAGGAAGAGCGAGGTCGGGAAATCTAAAGAGCGTGCGCGATTCCAAGGAGGCTGGACCGATGTGGATCTTGGACAGCGCGAGCAGTCTTTGAGCATGGCGGGATTGGCGTGTCGCCGCCTGAGAGCCAACCTCGGGGCAAAGTGTTTTCAGAGAACACACCGGGTCCTCTATTCCTAGGCCCGTGACAGAAGTAGACGATGTCCGCCGAAGAACCACCAGATTCGGACGCTGCAACCACGACGCCTCCATCAAGCCCTAATACACCCCTCTCACTACCCCTCACCTCCTCCCCCGCAATACTACCACCCACCGGCGAGCCCTCCTCACATCCCCACCACCGCCTCCACCACCCTCCCCACGCCCAGCACGCCCTCCTCGTCGCCCCACTGCCCCACGACGCTCACGCCGACCGGCCAGCCGTCGGCCAGGCCCGCGGGGACGCTGAGCGCGGGCAGCCCGGCGAGGGAGGCGGGCGTGGTGAGCGTGTCCTGGACGTACGCGTCCAGGTGTGTTGCGGGGGAGGGGGCGGGGAGCGGCGGCGCGGTGCGCATCGCGGAGGGGTGCAGGAGGACGTCGACTTTGCCTTCCTCTTCGCGTTCATCCGAGCGTGATGGGGACCCGCGGAGCGGGTTCGGCTTCAAGAAGACGCGGTCGAAGTCCGCCTTGATGAGCCGCCGGACGCGCTGCGCTTGCAGGAAGTAGTTGTCGAACGCGCTGCGCGGGTGGGGGGTTCAGATTTGTGTTTGTGTGGGGAGAAAAGGAAGGAGGGGGAGGGAGGGGAGAGGAGAGGGAACGAAAATAGGGAGGGGAGAGGGAACGAAAATGGGTGTGGGGATGGGAGGAGCAACGAAAAGAGGGGAGAAGGACGCACTCCGCACTCAACGCGTACGTCCCCAACAACACCCGCTTCCGGACCTCCCTCCCGAAGCCTTTGGTCCGCGAGTGGGCATATACCTGGCTCGCTTTGGCGCGGTCCGCGCCGGGGGGCGGGGGGACGTGTTTACCTGGGTGAGCGGCTCTGATCAGCATCGTGCGGATTGTACTCGGCGCACATCGAGTGAAGACAAACTCGGACTCGAAGGCAAAGGGAAAGTCACACACGAACACGGACACGGACACGCTGGCAGCAAATAAGGGAAATAGAGTAAGAGTAAGAGTAAGAGTAAGAGTAAGAGGGCGTGAAACAGAAACGCAGAATAGAGCAAGGCAGCCAAACAACACTGACCGTAGCGCACCCCGTCGAACCGCCCCAAACTGCTCCCCGCCTCCGCGCTGGCGATCACGTAGTACGCGCTCAGGGCGAAGCGCGTGCTGGGGAGGGACACGGGGACGAGGGCGGCGCCGCGCGCGCGCAGGGCGCGGAGGAGGGGCCGGAGGGGGAGGGCGGGGAGCTCGGCGGGGAAGTATTCCTAAGGGGGGTGAGCGGAAAGGGAAGGGAAGGGAAGGGAAGGGAAGGGAGGACGGAGCGGACCTGCGGAATCCCGATCGTGAGCCCGCGCAGGTCGGAGGGGTCCCGCCCCCGCGCGGGGGCGGAACGCGCGCGCTGCCGGATGGAGGGCGGGAGGGAGGTGGGGTCGCGCGGGTCGTGGTGGTTTAGGGTTGCTGTGGCGCGGGGTAAGGTGGGTTTTCATAGGGTTAGGGGAAAGGGAAGGAGGCAAGGCGCACCGAACACTTTGTGGACGTCGGCGACGGAGCGCGCGAGGACGCCGACGCAGTCGAGCGAGTCGGAGTAGGAGACGACGCCCCACCTGTTGGCAGATCAGTTTGAGGTTGCGTGCGCGGGATAAGGGCGCGGGGAAGACGCGCCTGCTCAGCAGCCCATAGGACGGTTTGAGCCCGACTACCCCGCAGTAGGCCGCGGGGAGGCGGACGGAGCCGCCCGTGTCCGTGCCGAGCGCGCTGTCCCGAGCGCTCATCAGCACTCGAAAATGTAAATAGATCGATGAAAAGACACGCACACGTCGCACAACCCAGCGGCTACAGCAGCGGCCGACCCGCCCGAGCTGCCGCCCGCGCTCCGCGGGGCGTGTTCGTGTTCGTCGCGTGGCACCCAGGGGTTGAGGACGGGCCCGTGGATGGAGTGGACGTTGAGCGAGCTGGCGGGGCGGGCGCGGTCAACAAACAAGCACGGGGATGGAAGCGGGCGCACCCCATGCCGAACTCGTCGCAGTTGGCTTTGCCGACGATCTGGGCGCCGGCGGCGCGCAGGAGGGAGACGACGGTGGCGTCGAACGGGGAGGTGAAGTCTGTAGGGCGTGAGAGATAAGGAGGACGGGAAAGGAGGGGGAAGGGAGAGCGCACCGCGGAGCATCTCGGACGAACACGTCGTGGGCATGTCGCGCGTGCAGATGTTGTCCTTCACCGCGACCCGCGTCCCGCTCAGCGGCCCCGGGCGGGCGGGCGGGGGCGTCGGCGGCGTGTAGACGAGCGCATTGGTCTTGGCGGCGCGGGTGTGGAGGGAGCGCGCGAGCTTCATCGCCGTGGACGAGGAGCAGGAGCGCGCGGGCAGTTTTGGTGGCGCCGGGCGTGGCAGATAAGATAACCACGTGGCGTGACTCTGCAGATCTTCCTCCTTCCTTCGCTCTTCTCCACCCGCCATGCCCTAGCCCTCCCCGCATACAACCTGCCACGATGTTCCAGCTCTCGATCATCAAAGACACCCTCCCCATCCTCCCCGCCGCCTTTGCCCTCCCGCCCGAGCAGGCGCTCACCGCCGCCATCAACAAAAAGTACGCCAACCGCGTGCTGCACGACGTCGGGCTGTGTATTGCCGTCTTCGACCTCGTCAGCGCGAGCGAGGGGCGCGTCAGGTACGGCGATGGGTGTTTGTGGTATAAAGGTGCGTGGCTGGGATTTCGCTATGGAGGAGAGGAGGTGGGCTGATTGGGGGCCAGTGACGTTTAGGATGGTCGTGTTTCGCCCGTTTGCGGGGGAGGTGCTGTTGGCGCGCGTCAAGTCGTCCGACGAGGACGGGATACGCTGTGCGTCTGCTCTCCCGCGCACGTGCTGCCTTAATACTGACGCTTACCCGCCAGTGACACTCGGCTTCTTCGACGACATGTACGTCCCCCCCGCCTACCTCCCCCAGCCCTCCGCCTTGTAAGTCTTCACCTTCCCCCTCTCCCCGTCCCATTCCTATTCCCTCTCCGCACATACTCACCCCCGCCCCCAGCGACCCGAACGAACGCGCCCACTTCTGGCTTGCAGACGCCGGCCCCGAGCAGGGCACGCACGAGCTGCTCGACTCGCCCGTGGCTGCGCGCATGTACATAGATAAAGGCGAGGTCGTGCGCGTGCGCGTCGAGATGGGTGAGTGCTCCGGGTTTGAGTTTGTCGGGCGGGCGGGCGGGCGGGCGGGCGTATCCCCGTCGTGCGCTCTTTCCGGGCGACGCACTCGGCCTCGTTTCATGCGGACCATCTCGCGGACTGTTCTCTCTCTCTCTCGGACGCGTTCCCGCGTACTTGGGCTCTAGCGGGTGGGGCCCTTGTCTCGCCGACGCGTGGGCGAACGCCTTACCCTCTTTTCACGCGGGCGGGCTGCGCTCTTGTCGCACGAGCGTGCCCCCGCTTTTCACGCGAGCGCGTTGTCCTCTCGTCGTCCGCGTCACGGCGCGCTTTGCGAACGAGCGGCACTCTGTTCACGCGCCCGTTGCCTGCGCGCGTCGGGCCCTTGTCTCACGGACGTGTTGTCTCGTCTGCGAAGAGCGGCCCTCTCGTCACGCAGGACGCGCGATCCTTGTCATGCGGGCGAGCGCGACTCTTTGCATTCTCGTGTGTGTGCGCGCGCGCGCGGCCCTTTTTCCTCCGTGCCAGTCGCGCTCTTTTCATGCGCTTGCGTGCGACGGAATGGAATGTATGTCGCTCTTGGCGCGCGCGAGCGAGCTGCGCTCTTGTCTCAGGGCTCTTTCACGCGCGCCCGCGTCGCTCTCTCGCACGCGGGCGGACGGGACGGCGGGGCGCACACGCGTTGCCTGCCTTTTCCCGCGAGCGCGTTGTCCGCCCGTCGTGCGGGCGCGTTGCCCTCTTCTCTCGCGGGCGAGTTGCCCTCTTCTCTCGCGGGCGAGTTGTCCTCTCTTCCTGCATGCAGTTGCGCTCTTCCCATGCGGACGCCGCACTCTCTTTTCATCAGGACGCCCGCCTCACTCTCTTTTCACAAGGACGGGGACCCGCTTGTCATGCGGACGCGCTCGCGAACAAGCGGGCCTCTTGTCTCGCGAACGCGCCCGCGAAAGAGCTGCCCTCTTGTCTCGCGGACGAATTGTCCTCTTTTCATATGGACGGGGGACCTGCTTGTCATGCGAACGAGCTGCCCTCTTTTCATGCGAGCGCGTCCCTCTCTTTTCATGCGAGCGCTTTGCCCTCTTGTCATGCGGGACAAGTTGTACTTTTGTCGTGCGGCCGATGTGCGCTCCTGTCTTGCGAGGGCTTGACTCTCTTGCCTCGCGAGCGCGTTGTTCTCGTGTCCTGGGGATGCGTTGCCTGCCTGTCTCGCGAACGCGTCTCCCTCTTGTCTCGCGGACGAGTTCCCCTCTCTCTTTTCATGCAAACGCGCTGCACTCTGTACATGCAAACGCCTTGCATTCTTGTCACGCGCAAATATCAACACTTGCCCTCTCCATTCCATGCAAACAAGTGTATCTGACTGATGTATCCCTGCGCACGCAGATGAGTTCTACGACGACGAGCCCGGCCCGCCGAAAGCCTCCGAGGGCGTGCGCGTCGAGCGCGAGCAGCGCAGGCCGCCGTATACCGTCACCGTGAGTCTCACCGCTCCTTCCGCCTGCCCCTTCGCTTTTGTTCTTTCTTTTCTCTCTCTCTCGTTGCCGGTTGATGTCTGCTTTTCGTCCTGCTTCTCCCGGTATGCGGTAGGCATCTCCCTCGCGCCCTTCCGCTCCATCGCCTGCGAAGCGGGCACGCCGCTTTTGTTCTTGCGCTCGCGCGGCGTTCTCGTATTCCTTTCCTTCCTCGTCCTCCTTTCCTTCCTTCCCCTTTTCCCACGTCAACCCCAACTAACCCCCCCCCCCTTCGTCACGCAGTGCTCCATCGCCGAACAAGGCCTCGGCCCCACCTCCTGGTGGAAAGCCGCCGAAGCGGTGCTCGAAGGCGAGGGCGAGGAGATGGACCAGGGCTAACCATGAAGACGCATCCAAGGGCAGCTGGCGCTGGCGGATAACAGAAGCGTGTATATGTATTTATGCATATGTATGAAGACAACGAACCCCGCGTCTCTCCCCCTTCCCCTCAGCACATGTATTCTCCATCAAGGATGAACATACGACGATGTGAAGAGTGAAAAATAAAGAGTCCCAGACAACATATGAAATATAACAAGGGGGAACAGGGGACTGCCCCAGTGAGGCTCGAACTCACGACCTTCCGATTGAGAAATAACGTAATGCAACATTACATAACAGTCGGACGCTGTAACCAACTCAGCCATGGGGCATGTAGGCTATTTTTATTCGTCCAAATAGGACTGTAGTCGTCTCTTTATAGTATCAACTGCCTCAGGCTCCTAAACCACCGTCCTTAGCGTTCTCGCTCCTCCTTTACTAGGGCGCACGTGCAATGTTATGTAATACAAATCTATTTTTAATTTATTACCGGATACAGAACGAACAGAGGAGGAGAACGCTATAGGACGGCTGGAAGAAATCGTCTCCCCGAGATCACCGAGTATGACTAAGCATTCCAAAAGCGGTAGCGGCTGAGGCCTTCCACCAGCAGTCGGCGGGCAATGCAAGGAGCACCTGAAAACTAGGAGGGATAAAAACTATATAGAAAGGCATAAAAAGCTATCTTACTGGTACTCCCCCAGTGTAAACACCCCCCGTGAACTATTGTCCCTCAGAGGAATTTATCAAGGCTTGTGAACCCGATGTTCAGCCCTCAGTGACACTGTCAATGCTTGTATTTGCTTTTGTCTATGTCAGACCATTGGTGCATTATATACAAATAGAATGTGCTTTGAATTCTATAGGTATGCGCG